CAGTCTGTTCGGTTGGGGCGGTCATATTCTGAACCACTTAGCCCAGGGTCAGTGGTCCAGTTCAGACCTGGCTCACAATATAAATTGGCTGGAGCTCAGGGCCATCCACCTGGCTCTCCAAAGATTCTCCCCCCTGGTATCAGGGAAACACGTATTAATCCTGACAGACAACATTGCGGCCAAAGCTCACGTAAACAAACAAGGGGGCACCCACTCTTGGACACTCATGCAGGAAGCCCAGGCCATAGAGCTGTGGGCAGAGTCCAACCTGAGGTCCATCAGGGCAGAGCACATATCGGGGGAGGCGAATCAACAGGCAGACTCCCTGAGCAGGGTCACAGTGGATCACTCAGAGTGGAAGCTAGACTCAATCCTATTCCAGGAAATATCACGCAGGTTCAGACAGCCCATCCTAGATCTCTTTGCCTCTCCGATCAATGCACAGCTCCCCAGATTTTTTACCAGGTTTCCGGCGAGGGGGGCGGAGGGAACGGACGCCCTCCGGAGCAGATGGCCGGAGGGCGTACTTTATGCATTCCCTCCTCTTCCACTAATACAAGCGACCATTCGCAAGCTCATCCAGGAACAGTCAGAGCTAATCTTAGTGGCTCCATTTTGGCCAAGACGCCCGTGGTTTGCCGACCTGGTGGACCTGTCAATTTCACCTCCATGGAAGATTCCCCCGGACCGAGTAGCTCTCAGCCAGGGGAACCTCCAACATCCGGATCCACAGTGGCTCCAATTAGCCGCTTGGCACTTGAGCGGGAGAGTCTGACCAAACAGTCTTTCTCCTCTGGGGTTATTTCCGTCATCCAGGCCTCGAGGCGTCCCTCGACCAACAGAATCTATGACGCCACTTGGAGAAGTTTTTGCTCTTGGTGTACCAAAAAGCGGCTTTCACCGCTTGCTGTCTCCATCCCAGACATATTAGATTACTTACTTGAGGGGTTAACTAGAGGTCTGTCAACCAGCACCATACGTAGGCAGATAGCAGCCTTGTCGACAGTTCTCACCTGTGACAACCAGGTTTCCCTGTCCCAACACCCAGCAGTCAGTGCCTTTCTCAAGGGTGCGGCCAATGTAGGGCCCCCCACGGTTCATCGTTATCCATCCTGGGACCTCTCTAAGGTGTTACAGGCTTTAACGTCCTCTCCATTTGAACCTCTGAAAGTTTGCTCCCTTCACTTCCTTACATTGAAGGTAGCCTTCCTAGTGGCCATCACGTCGGCCAGGAGGATTTCAGAATTGGCGGCCCTGTCGGTCAGGGAGGACTTGTGCATGTTCCATGAGGATAGAGTGGTCCTCAGGTTGGATCCTGCATTTGTTCCAAAGATCAATACAGGGTTTCACCGCTCGCAGGAACTAGTCCTTCCTAACTTCTGTCCTAACCCTTCCCATCATCTGGAGAGACGGTGGCATATGTTGGATGTGCGCAGGGCTCTGCGCCATTACATTAAACGAACCTCGACCTTCAGGAAGTCCGAGGCATTATTCGTGTCCTTTCAACCCTCAACTATGGGTCGGAAGGTCTCTTCTTCCACCATTGGTCGGTGGATAAGGATGTGTATTTCCAGGGCTTATATTTCCCAGTCCCTTCCAGTACCTTCACATATTACTGCTCACTCTACACGTAGTGCTGCTGTCTCAGCGGCTTGGTCTACCCAGGCATCACTCGAGGAGATTTGCAGGGCTGCGACATGGTCCTCTCCTTCCTCATTCATAAAACATTATAGGATAGATCAATTTGCAGCAGCTGAGGCTGCTTTCGGTAGGAGAGTCCTACAGCAAATAGTGGGTTCTCAGGGGTCACAAGCCTAGACTCCCTCCCTATAGGGACATGAGCAGCTTTGGTATGTCCCAATCAGTGGAGTCTACATCCATCCTGATGGAGAAAAGAGCGTTGTCTTACCTGAACGCTTTTTCTCAGCAGGATGGTGTAGACTCCACACCCACCCTGTTAGTGTTAGTCTAGGCCTGTGTCTTCCTTTTTTGTTTGGAGCCTTGCGTCCGGTAGCTTCGCCTCGACAAAAACTGGGAAGTCACACCCAGAAGGAGGCGTGGCAGAGTTTTTTTGTCTTAGTCTGAGCAGGTGGGATTAAATTACCCAATCAGTGGAGTCTACACCATCCTGCTGAGAAAAAGCGTTCAGGTAAGACAACGCTCTTTTTTGCTTTATCATGTGAGATGATTCCAATCATTGTTAGATATAAAGTCAATACCTTGTGTGTATTACCACCAATAGTTAAAGTGAGTTTGTCCAGGATTAGGATCTGTATCACATGTTCTACCAAAGCAATACTTTTTCCATTAGTGCACAGAAAAATGATTTTCCTGCAGCTGCCAGCTCAGGCACCTTGCCATGCATACCAAAGCCAAAGAACTGCATGAAAATCATTAACTTAATGGTTTGAGGACTGTTAAATTGTTACATATTCTATTCTGCAATTTAATACATTCTTCAGCTCCTAAATATTATGGCCTATACTATGAATAATCTACTGTTTTAGACCAGAGATCCCCAACTTTTTGGGCACCGGGGACCGGTTCCATGGATAGAGGTTTTTCCACGGACCAGAGAGTGCGTGGTTTTGTATGCTGCCTGCATCTCGTGAATTGGACTTTGCTTGTTTGTGAGGCCTGGTTGCTAGCATGCTGCGGACCGGGGGGGGGGTTGGGGGCCCCTGTTTAGATTGTCTTTTATTAATGTGCTGCAGGCTATGTTTTATTCCAAATAGAAATAAAATGTTGATTTCATAATATGATTGGGACAATAATCACAATAGTTGAAATTAAATACGATTAATGTAATTATTCTTCAAGCCATATATTTAATAATATTCTTCAGTGCCCAAAAATTACAATTTGGTAATTTCTTTTTAAAGCCAGATGTTTGGGAGGCTGCATATGGGCTAACTTGGATATTCTATTGTTTTTCCTCAATTTGATGTTTTGCTTTATTTAAAAAATTTTTTTGTCTTGGGCTAGAACTCTTTTAAGGTTTGAGCTATAACTATATACAGCAGAATTTAGAACCATATGAGGCATTACATTTCGCAGCCTGGAATATATTTGTTTTTTTCTGAGTCCACATTCTCTTTACTGCTATCTATACACTTTCAACTTGTCATCTTAGCAATAAGGATAAAGTCATATATTTTCAAGGCTTTTTTGGTTTAATGTTTTGGCTTTCAGGAACATGTGAGATTTAAATTCTAGCACGTTGCTCATTAATATTCAAGTAACAAGCTTATTTCTTAAATTTGTTTATTAGAATTATATCCCACTTTTATATAACAACTCAGGCTATATTGTATTCTGTCCTACTTTATCACACAACAACAAACATATCTATGAGGTAGGTTTCACTGAAGTCAATACCACTCCATGAGCTTCGATAACTGAGGATGGATTAGAATTGAATGTTTTTATTGATGGATTTTAGCCCCTATATCATTTTAGCTCCAATGTATCGTTTTCTCCCCAAATGATATATTTGGAATCTGTTTGTAATAAATTCTAAAATGCTTTCTAAATGATAATTATTACATTAATTGTAGAATATTTTTTCTATTATTAAACATTTGTTTTAAACAATAATTCCAACAGAAGAGAAGATAGACAGACAGTCAGTCTGAGGATTATACTATAGAATCCTGTTTACATACAATAGCTTGTTTTGTCTGTGTTGGTGGGGTTGGGGGTTTTCTGCTTGGTAATTCCTTGATTAGGGCATTGTTTTCTGCTTGCTTACTTGTTTGTGTGCTGGTAATCCCTGTTTAGCTGGGTGTTGACTGCAGGAAAGGATGTATTGTGGTCTTTTTGTTTACTTTTTTTATTAGCTCTTTTGAATGGTGTATAAACTAGTTTAGGTGTCCACTAATGGCTGATTTGTCTGAATGCCAAGCTTCCAGCGATTCCTGTTTTTTGGATTTAATCTGGTCTAGAATGCTCATAGCTTCCCAGCTAAAACTATGTTGAGTCTGTCAATGTGTTGTGAGATTAAACAGTTCTCATCATGTCTTTTGACTTCTAGTTGGTATTCTTAAATCTGCTTTGCTTAAGAAAAATAGAAATGTATTGCTTGAACAATAATAAAACATTAAATGAATGAAAAGAAGTTATCTAATGCAGAAAACCAAATACAATGAATAATATCCTGAAGAATTGTTTAGTAGAAATCAGTACTAAGGTTATCAACTGCTCATATTTAACTGATCTAGAATTATATCACAAATGTTAATTTACCTTTAATAAAAACATAGAATACCAACATAGAACATAGAATTACAAGCAGGAGACCTTACACCGTTCTGAACAAATGGTTGTCCAATCTTTTTATGAAAATCTCCAGTGTTGGAGAACCCACAATTTTTGGAGGCAAGCCTCTCTAATTAATTAATTGTGTTCACTATCAGGTAATTTCTTCTTATTTCTAGATTGGATTTCTCTTTAATGATCTTCCATCCATTATTTCTTGCCCTGCTGTTAGATGCTTTGGAGAATAGGTCAACCTCCTCTTCTCTATGAGAGCCCCTCAAGTACTAGAAGACTGCTTATCATGTCATCCCTAGTCCTCTTTGTTAGACTACACATACCTAGTTCTGTCAACTGTTCAATGTACAGTTTAGCCTCCAGACCCCCTTATCATCTTGATTCATGCTAATTTATTGCCTACCATCTAAAATTTTAGCCAGAGATAAGCACTTATGAATGCACTAGTGTTTGAAAAATGGGATATACATCAAAATAGTAATGCAGAATATGTATGCAGCCTCAAGTCTAGACTACAGTAGTATAAACCTTCTATTATATTTATATTTAAAAAAAGATGTGTTACTCTTAAATGTGAAAACTCATGCGTCTTACAGAAGTTTTAAAAATAATCTGGCTCAGTTAATTTATTAAAACGTGATTTTTAAATAAAAATTCAGAATATATAAATTATTTTTTATAAAATGAGCAGAGATGATCATTGTTGACTAATCAATGTTCTATCTTAGTAACTGTAGATCTGATTGGAAATGGTTGGTAGAAAGAGCTAAAGTTGGCTATCAGTGGACATGGCTTCAGGATCAGATTTCTGAGCTGGAATACAAAATTCAACAACTTACTGACCTTCACAGACAGATCCGTGCCACCAAGGTATTATGAATTAATTAAATATATTTATTTAAAAACATGTTAAAGTTTTGATAGATATTTTCTATGCAATCCATGAATTCTATACAGAAATCTTTTGAGAAATCTTAAATGGCAAATGAAAGGGTTGTCTGATAGTGGTAAACATTATTCACAATCTCCCCTCCTATTCAAAGGTTAATGGAAATCCTTGGGTACATTCCTATAGCCTAAATAAGGGACAACGTGTATAGAAATGTGATCCTTGAAAAGATAAAAAATTTTAATTTCATATTTAGTTGCTATAATTACACTGGTTATATTTTTTTCTGGAGTACTTGATAGGAAATAATGGATAATACATAAACATGGAGGAACAAAAACACAGCTTTATATACTTAGCAGATTGATTGCAGTAAGCCAAAACATCTTCCATTATTTTTTGCTTCCTAACTTTTACTTACAGTAAATTTAGATTTTCAATTTTTAATTTAGTGTAACTTAATATATGGAAGGATTTTTTTAAAAAAAAAAACATTTAATTCCTGATACTTATAATCAATATTTTTATAAACTACTATGCATATTAATCTTTGTCCAGAGGAGAACTAAGGAGCATGTTTTCTTGCCAGGATTTCCATCTTTTTCTTGCTAGTGGGAGAAGAAGTTTGAATATTACTGTATATCAGAAAACCAAAACCAAAAAATAAAACAAATCCCAGATAGAATAGTATGTCCTTGCCTGGCTGACTTTATCTGGCTTAGAAGGCAAAAGGAGGTTCAGGCCTGATTAGTTCTTTGGTGAGACATTCCAGTGTTTATTAGCCGCTATATACTGAAAGGCTCTGCTTTTTACTAGAATTGTTTGATTGCCCAATTAATCTTGCTGCAGGGCTGTTTCAGCATCACTTTTCCAGCTTAAATTGTCCCAGGAAAAAGGTGCAGTGACAAAAGCTTATCCTGAATGCATGTATACTGATCACTAAGGCTAGTGGCAATAAAAAGAGGTATAAATATGCCTGTAAATCAGTGAGAAAGGCAATTCTCTTATATTTTAAATATAGGCAGTCCTATGCAAAATAATTTAGAATATAATAAGACACCTATGTAAGGTTGTTTGATTAAGTCCCTTAAGGTCCATATTGAAAACTGATTGTTTTTGAAGTTTGAACTTTAGAACTAAGATACGTATTTAATAAAATTGATTAATGCAATTGATAGGGAGTACATTATAATTATTTCCTGCTATTTTTAGTTAATATAATTAAATAAAAAGCTATTTGGTATCATTCTTCTGCCCCCAGCAATGTCCCAGTTTTTCTGTGGAACTTTCAATTAATATTTGGGGAGTTTACGTGTTACATTTCAGTTTTTTATTTTTATTTATTTTAATTAATTTTTATGCTTCCTCTCTCCCCTACGAGGTGACTCTGATTATCAGTCTGATTGTGCTAATTTACTATTGTTTAGGGAATGGTGATTTTAGAAGAATGTTCAGTCCCAAAAGACATCTTGAAGAAACGTACACAATTACCAGATCAAGAGGCATTGAATTCTACAGGGAATTCACAAGCTTTCCTACAAAGGCAGGATGTTTGGCCAGAACATGATTTTGAAATGTCACCCAGCAGTCCAACTTTGCTTCTTCGTAATATTGAAAAACAGGTAATTAAATGAAACTAACACAATGTACACAATAGTTAATATATTTTAAAATTAATTTATGTTTTAACTCATAATCCATAAAAATAATATTTTTCTAAATATTTCTCCCAGATGAAAAAGTGGTGGCAATATAGTTAGCAGGCAATGTATTATGTTTACTTAGTAGGAGGGGAGTTTAAGGAAATTCTAGATTTAAATTGTACTTGTCTCTTTATATCTTCATTAATTTTCTGTAAGGATGAAATATAATAGTGCTTAGCAATAGCACTTAGTCTTATATACCAATTCACAGTGCTTTACAGCCCTCACTAAACGGTTTACAAGTCAGCATATTGCCCCCAACAATCTGGGTCCTCATTTTACCGATCGATCTCGGAAGGATGGAAGGCTGAGTCAATCTTGAGCTGGTCTGGATCAAACTGCAGGCAGCAAGGAGTTGGCAGAAGTAGCCTGCAGGACTGCATTCTAACCACTGCGCCACCATGGTATAACTTCTGCTTATACCATGTTGAAGGTCTTTATTGGTAAAATACTTATCAGTGCAAAAAGAGAAATATTTCAGATTTATAGAGAAAGAGAATTACAATCCTTGACCTGGCTTTTCCTTGAACTTTACAGGTAGTATTCAATTTAAGATTAGCAACTGTTCAAATATGCTTCTATCAAAAAATTACCTTAAGTCAATCATATGTTAGCAGCCATAATAGAGCCCTCAAGATCTGAGTGATTATTTCTCAATAAGGAATATGCACAACACAGTTGTAATTTGTTTTGGTTTTTGCATATATCAATGTCTTCTAGATTTTCATAAATCTCTTTAGGATTTGAATTTGATATGGTCTTTATTATTTTGCAGGGCATTTTAAAAATTCAAATTAACTCTTCACTTAATATTGGTATAGTTCAGTTATGAAGCATGGAGTTTAGGTAAAATATGGACACAACTGATTTCTTTAGTTAAGCATTTGTAGTATATAAATTGAATGTATTTTTTTTCTCCCTCTACCATTCAGAGTGCTCAGCTGAGTGAAATAATAAGCAGTCTGATTGCTCCCCTTAATCTATCTCCAACATCATCCTCATTTTCTTCAAAAATCTGTAAACAGAATGAATTGGTTAATGGCATCTCTTTACGGTAGGTGTCATTTGTTATGGATGGCTTGTCTGAGTTTTCGTAACGTTTCACAGTAGACTTCTGAATTGATGGTCGAACCACGCTTCATGAATTTCACTAGCAGTACTTCTTTGGCATCCCAGAACACTGTTGCCATAACTTTTCTAGAAGACAATGTTTGCCAAGCTTTTTGGGGTTTCTTTGGTGACTGTGTATGACATCACACCATTGATTGCTGTTCGTTTTTGGGGTTCACGTACAACACCCAGGTCTCATCGCCGGTCACAATTCTGTTAAGAAATTGCTCTCTTTCCTCAGCATAACGCTTGAGAAAGTCCAAAGCAGAACCCATTCAGTCTGTTTTGTGCTCCTCAGAAAATAGTTTGGTACCCAACAAGCACAGAACTTGTGGTATACCAAATTTTCTGTCACTACCTCATGCAAAACAGAGAAATTTAGGGAAAGTGTAAAAAAAGTGCAAATATTGTGAACTGACAGACTTCATGGACCTTTTGTCAATTTCCTGCACGAGTTCATTGCTGACTACAGATGGGCAGCCACTTCTTGCCTCATCGTGCATGTCAGTTTGTCCATCTTTAAGCATGCGACACCATTGATGTATGACACCTTCACTCATCACATTTGGTCTGTAAACATTACAGTTTGATGAATCACAGCTGCCGAAAGTTTTTTTGCACACAGGAATTGTATTACTCCACACGCTTCACATTTAGCAGGATTTTCTATGTGAAGTGCGTGCAGTAATACAATTGATCTAGTGGATGAGCCAACTGAAACACAACCTTCTCCTTCCACTCCTCACTCCCTACTGAACTACTGCGCACGGTGCCATAGGATGGGCGTCGCTATCCCCGCCTATTTTTCGCACATGCTAAACGGAGGTTTATTTCTGAATTGCCCTTGTATGTGTATGTATATGTATGTATGTTTAAAATTTAGATAATCTTGCAATGGATTTACATTTGTTCATTCTCCCCTCCCTCAGTCACAATGGATCTTCCTCACCTGCAAAGCAACTTGCTGACCTGGAGGTGGAGTCACCTCATTCACACTGCAGAGAAGCTCAAAGAAGCTTCTTTACTTTGGTGGCTTTTTCACAACTTAAGGAGAGGGACCTTTTTGGTGCCAAGAACTGTGGGGAGTGGGAAGTCACTTTGAGCCATGTGACTCAGCTAGGGGAATTAGGACCAAATGCAAGTACATTGTGGAGATACCCACAGTGTGTAGAAGGTGGATGATTTTTTCATGGGAAAAGGAAACTAGAGGCACTGGAATCTGTTCCATACCAAAAGATTCAAAATCTCATTATTTACAATTCATGCTGGAATGTCACACAATATATCTGAATATTATTTATGCATATATTAAATATAAGAAAGAAGAATGTATGAACCAAAGAACAACTATTATAGATCCTTAGAGCTGGAATTTATCTCATGTAGTCCAACAGTTTGCTCAATGCATCTGCTAAAATGTTATTCAACAGTTATTTGAAGACTTCCTGTGAAGAGGAATTTAACAATTAATGAGGCAAACTATAAAAGTGACTGATAACTACTATCAGGAAATTGCTATTAATTCCCAAGCTGAATCTACTTACCTGTTGTTTCAGTGCATTTTTTCTTGTTCTGTCTTCAGGACAAAAGAAAACAAGACCACTCTCTTCTTTATATTACTTTAATATATCTGGTGCTATAATTCATAAAAATCAGTTACTTAATTCTGATACAATTATGATTTTTTAAATTAATATGTTTAATATTAATTGTAAGTTAATATGTAGTGTAAGTTTTTTTAATATTCTCGACAACCTGGGATAATAATAGATATATTTCAGTGAATCAGAGAACAAAGAAGAAATTTCATCTTCTAGTAGTTGCCTGGCTGATCAACAACATCTAAAGAGAAGAAGGAAAGAAAAGATGAAACTGAAAACACCTACTGTTGCTCTGATGAGCACATCTGCTCGCACTAGACCACTTCTGAGTTTCCAGAGGAGAAAGCCATATAGAATGAATACAGCTTTTACTTTGAATAACCAGGTACAGATGTTTTTTTCCCTTTTCTTTAATATAGTGTAAAGATTCCAGCCAATATATACATCAATATGTCAGTCCCAGTATGTTTGTATGTATATATATTATTTCTGTTTTTGTGAGAACCTTGAATATGTAGGATAAATGTGAGGCTGGCTATACACAAGACTTTCATATACTATATCTTGCAAATGTCATATTTTAATTAGCTTCAATGAAAGAACAAATATTATTCATATTATTCTGTTCTGCCTTAAAGTAAAAATCAAAATGCAAAACCAAAATTAGGCATGTATTGCAGAAGAGTACATGCAATTCTGTCAAAAGAATATTTAAATTGTTATAAATAAAGATGGTCTCAGAAACCATCTGCTGTTTTGCAGTCAACGTTCCTAACTTTTGGTTTCATTTTTTTAAATCAAAAGTAAGAACAAAAATAATTTACTTCTTCATAAGTTCTTTAAGTAATCTTATTTATCAGTTTGGAAGTATTTTATCATTTGTCAGATTCTGTTTAACTTTTTTAGAAACTGCTTAGTTCTTAGGATGATTGTCATGCATGAAACACAAAAATCTACCCATAACAACATTTTATTGATTAGCCATAAGGCCATATCACAATGTAGAAAAATTGAATAAGTCTATCCATAACAAAACAACTAAAAACAAAAATTTGATTCATGTGTTCTGATTACTTTACAGGTTACCTGAATTATATTGACATGTGTGGCTCTCAGTTGCACTGTTTTATTCAAAAATGGGGCTATTTTATTTGTAATATCAGTATTCTGTCTGCACATAAAATATGTTCTGAGATACGGGTCCTATGGCATTTTTGTAATTACATATTTTTCGATTTCAAAATTATACTTGTGGCAGCTCAACCATCTTGGCATATCAACCTTACTGAGCATCTTTGTGCATCAGTTTTCTTAATTTGTCCAGCTAAACGGGAGATAGAAAGTCCACGGCTTCTAATACAACTTGTTAGTTATAAATACTAATTGAAATTTATTCTAACGGTATAATTTTTGAGAATATCAATCTTCGTAAAAGTAATTTTCCACCAAGTTTTATATCCTTTAAGTTTTAAGTCAATACAAAACATATACAGTATATTCCCAACTCAGCTTTAACCATGATAGTTTTTAGAGTCCTTTTAGCCATATCCAATGTACTCAAGGGACATGAATGTGTTTGTTGTAAAAATAGTACATGTTTAGCCCCATATAAGTAGATATAAGAACATGGGCTTCATTAAGTTTAACAGCAAATTCATGTATACTATCTTTGTAAGGGAGCTGCTACAATGATGAGGGAGCCATGATGCACTCTCAGAAAAGACTCATACGTAAGGAAAAGTTCTAAGTAGTCCTTTTGGTTCACCATCTAAAAACCTTTTGTAAAGACAATAAGCATTTGACTTAGAAAAAACTAATTGCAGTAATCTAATCTTGAGGTTATCACGATGTGTGCCACCAATTCCAAATCTTTGTTCTCGAAATATGGACAAAATTGGTTTATTATTCAAAGCTGAAGGCCCTTTTTGCCCCAGATGAAATGTGATCATTAAACCAGATCCAGACCGACACATTTTTAACCTGTTCTTTTAAGGACAATGTAATTCCTTTCAAAATAATCATATATCCTAAACTTTAGCCTCTAGAATCCACAAAAAGTTTGTATTGTTAACATGTAGCTTCAATTTCTACTCTATATTCAGTTTCTGCTTTATATGAAAAGAAACTATTTTAACAAAACTCCTTTTGCTGCATTTTTTTTTCAATGAAAGTTTTTTATTTTTTTTTCCATATAAACATTATAAAAAAAACAGTATACAATACAATTTTAAGATAAAATAAACATTATTACGACCTGCGCACTCCCCCCAGGCCGCGTCCACCCTCTCTTAAAACATTCCCTACTTCCCTCCTCTTTCTCACCTCCCATCCTACTCTCTTCCCCTCCCCTTCTCCTCTCACTACCCTACTTCCTCTCTACACTTGCCCACCTCTCATCCCTATCAAACCCATGAACGCAGCATAAGGGGAGTGCCCAGGCCGCACCCCTATAAGCAACCATTATCTATATTACACTTACCCCCCCCCCACATTTCCTCCCTCCCACCCCCAACCCCCCTCCCTTCACTTCCCAGAGCAGAATACAGGGTTAATAATTAAAAGAATTTATAATAATAAGAAAAAAGAAAAGAAAAAGAAAAAAAAAAAAAAGAAAAAAAGAAAAAATAATAATAAAAAAGGGGAAAAAAATTATCATACTTGACCTTTAACTCCAATAGCCTATAAGACAATTCTCTGTAATATTTACTATAATATTCATTCATAAAATAAGTGAAACTTTTTAGTTCCATACTTTTTCTGAATATAATCTATCCATCTTCTCCATACAGTAATATATCTTTCTTGTGTATGATCCTTTAAATAGGCAGAAATTTTTGCCATCTCTGCAAAACTAGATACTTTAAATACCCATTCTTCTAAAGTAGGCAAAGAATCTTTCTTCCAATATAAACCTATTAATAACCTTGCGGCAGTTAATAAATTCAACATCAAAATAGTTTCTTTATCATTTAAATCCACAAAGATACCCAATAAAAATAGTTGAGGAGTAAACTTTATCTTCCTTCTAAAAATCTTTTGAATGTTCCACCAAATCATAATCCAAAATGCCTTTACCTTTTTACAATTCCACCAAATATGAAAATATGTCGCATCTTTATTACCACATCTCCAACATTTGGGCTGTATGTTAGGATACATACAAGATAATTTTTTAGGATCTAAGTGCCATCTGTAAAACATTTTATAAAAATTTTCTCTCAAATTTTGAGCTTGTGTAAATTTAACATTTCTAGTCCAAATTGTCTCCCATAAATCCAATGAAATCGGTTCCTGTATATTTTGAGCCCATTTAATCATACAGTCTTTAACTAATTCTGTTTCCGAGTCTAACTCTAATAAAACATTGTAAATTCTTTTTATATGGGCCTGACTCTGATTTTTAATCTGAATAACCAATTGTTTATCTTCTAATGTTATTCCCTCTTTCTTATCTACAGTCCATCTATCCACTATTTGTAAGTATTGAAACCATGACTGTAGAGTATTTTCTTGCCTTAATACATCTAGGGATTTCAAATGCCAATTCGAACCAGACCAAATTAACAATTCTTTATACGAGATTTTATCAAAATTTGTCCCCTTAGAAATTCCCTCAATTGCATGTCTGGGGATCCCCCAGATAGGTATTTTATAATTCAATCTAAAATAATACTTTTTCCAAACACGAAGTAAGGCATTCCTCAAAATATGTAATTTAAAAATCCGATCAACTTTCTTATTGAAAATCAGGTATGCATGCCAACCATATATTTAGTCCCAACCTTCCAAAAACAAAATATCCTTATTTGTTAAGTTGAGCCAGTCGCTTAACCAAGTTAAAGCGGCTGCATCATAATATAATTTCAAGTTGGGTGCCTTAAGTCCTCCTCTTTCTCGAGCATCCTGTAAAATCTTAAACTTAACCCTTGGTTTCTTTCCGGCCCATATAAAATTGTTGATACCCCTTTGCCATTCATCCAAATTTGCCTCTTTTTTTAAAATAGGTATCATCTGAAACAAAAAAAGAAACTTTGGTAGAACATTCATTTTTACAGCTGAAATTCTCCCCAACAATGACAATTGCAGTTTTTTCCAGTCTTTTAAGTCCTTTTGTACTTTTCCCCATAATGGTTCATAATTATTCTTATACAATTTTCCATTTGAAGCGGTTAAATATACTCCCAAATATTTAACCTTTTTTACCATCTGAAAACCTGTGGCTTTGACCAAACTTTCCCTATCCTTAACTAACATATTCTTAGATAATATCTTAGTCTTATAATTATTAACTTTAAAACCAGAGACATTCCCATACTGTGTTGTAAGTTCTAATAAACAATCAATCGCTTGATTCGGTTGCTGCATTTATATATTCTCTCTCTCTCTCTCTCTCTCTCTCTCTCTCTCTCTCTCTCTCTCTCTCTCTCTCTCTCTCTCTGTGTGTGTGTGTGTGTGTGTTGATTGAATTGCTTTTATAACAAAAGTTATCCACCACTATATTTACATTTATGAATTAATAGCCAATTTTTTTCCCAAATATAAATTAACATTACCACCCTTCTGTGGTGTGTTGCAATAGAAAAAAAATATTAAGTCTAATAGTTTAAAATGACTCAGATACTCACCTCATGCAATCATAGCTCTCTACTATTTGTTAAATATTTTTTCAGACTTCTTTGTAAGCAAGAAAAAAGATGCCCCTTCTTAAAGAGTCACATGAACTTTAATGAGTAGATTCCTTTTTTAGGTATACAGCACCTATTGCAAGGAAGAAATAGAGGGAAAGGCACATCAGGTATTAGTTAATTTTTTGCCTTGCCAGAATAGAAGAAATCAAATGGAATCAAAACTTGATCTTGGTAGGAGTAAAATTGGTCTTTAAAATGGATCCTACTTTGGATAAAGCCTTTTCCTATTTCTGCTATTTGAGATCTGATGATGACATGTGGAAGGACCTATTTCAGTGTTTTCTGGTGATTAGTAGGTTCATCTAGAAAGACAGAGTTCCTAAAATATTTAGGTTTTAGGCTATCCATCTTTGCAGTGAAGGCTGAGCTGGAAATACCCCCAATACAGAGTCATTTAACAATTATTTAATTGCTGGTTGCAGAATCCGTCAATGGACTCAGACTATAAAAACTGTCTTTTGAAGAGCAAATTTTCAACAGTTCTCTTGCACTTGTGCTTGTCATATTGTTTCACAATAGGGGTTTTCTGTTCACTTCCCAGTTCAAACAGACCTGAGAGCTAGTTAAAGTTTCAAAAGCTCCTGGATTTCACTTTCCATGATGACACAGCATATCTTAAATGTACCAAGTCTTTGAAGAGGCTGGCACAACATAAGCCATATTTCCAGGTAGAAAGCATTTAATAATTGACATGCCTCAGCACCTTAGAAGACCTTTCTCTAGACATAATTTGAACCACGCAATTCTATGGTAAAGTATGAGAGATTTCCTGGAGTACTTTTTGCAGAAACATCTTACATTTTTGCAGAAAGATCTTATGTTTTTCAAAAAGATCATATATTTGTGGTGGTCCTGCTATTCAAGGTGCTGCTGTTACTCTGTAGCAAGAATTAATTGCCTAAGCCTTTTTAATAATCTAAGCCATCCTAGAACAGTCCAAATAAATTGTATTTTTTATAGAGAATGATCTTGCATAAGGAAGACTGTGTCTTTTATATTAAAAGGATGGATCATGTAGAACAGATTTGGGTTGATTGCAGAGGCAACAATATATTATGAAGGCATTCTACTTTTATCTTAGTACCTTTTATAGTTTTTTAATATGGTCAAATGACTAATCAATGCATTAATTGTTTAAGGCATTATAATATTTAAGAAGTGATAATGAGCCCTTTGTATTGTGTTTCTGTGGTTAAAAATTCTCACTTCTACTAGCTGTAGTTTCTAGTATCTACATGTCCTTCCTGCGTCAATTCAGAAAGCTTAGATTGCCCAAAGATCTGCTGATGCAATTCTGCAAAGGAATTGTTGAGTCTGTCATTTGTACCTCAGTAACTGACTGGTTTGGCACTGCAATCAAACAGGGCAGATACAGACTTCAATGGATAGTTAGGAGTGCAGAAAAAACAATCTAATCAGCCAGAAAGAGGGCTGAGAAAATATCTACAAACCCCTCACATCCTGGACATAATGTATTTCAACTTCTCTGCTCAGGATGCCACTATAGGGCATTGCATGCCAAAACTACTACCTAAAAGATTTTTTTTCTCCCGTGCCATCACTCTGCTGAACACTTAATTCCCACAACACTGTCTCATTTTTTATCTTTTCTCATCCTTTCATGTTTCTTACTATCTTCTGCTGTTGGTTTCTTATTATTTATCGACTGTTGTTTATTATGATCTATAATCTATTATTTACTATTTATATGTACACTGGGAGCTTATGCACTGGAGATCAATTCCTTGTGTGTCCAATCACACTTGGCCAATAAAAAAACCTATGATTCTATGATCAGCTGTTAGGAATTTCTGGAGAAGAGACAGGCACAGTTTGAGCATATTAATTAAACAATAAAAATAGTTCTTTTGGTTCAGCAGGATCACAACATATAAGGTGGTAAATTTAAAGTTTCAGTAACATTATTAAAACATTTATTACATGTAATATGACTTATTAAAACTTGTATGTTTGTATAGTCACAAAAAGTTAATAATTGTATTATATTAATTCAGTTTAAATGTGTTGCTTCCTAATTGTGGCTAGATCCATTGTCATTAGAAAAGAAATACAATTAGCACAGTTTAATTTCATTGTAATGTCATTATTTAAGAAAAAAGCTGAGCACAAATTAACTCAAACAATGAACTGTTCATTTTTTAAGGGGAATATAGCCCATTAAAATCTAATAGGACCCTGTCACTGAAAAAGTAATTTATTTTGTTTGGATTTGATTTCAGTTTTAGCTCAGTTTTAGGATTGATCAGATTATTCCATTTGTTCAAATCTATATGCCATTTTATAGGCTTTGCATCAGGGCAGTACCTTGTATAATACAGAAGAGATTGCAAGCAGCAAAAGAAATAATTACAAGTTTAGCATCAATTCTAGTATATGCAAGCAACTCATGTTGGAACTGGACACATCATTCCATCCTGTTTTATCATTTCCTTCAGGTAAGTAAGTTACCTACTATTGCATGGGTAATTATTCTAAGAATCTTAATATAATATAAAAATCATGAAATAATATTTTCTTTAAGCTGATTGTTATGATAATCAAGTCTCTAATTAGCTTTGTCCATGTACTGTAAAGTCATAAATCAATCAACAAATATTAGTGATATATAAGAAATAAAGAGTAGGAATGCAGTTGCTTATTCCATTCAGGAATCCAAAGTAATGGTTTTGATATGTTCATAGTTTGCATGGTCTATATTTGAACACATCCAATATAAGGACTCATGTCATTTTTTAGTTAATTGGTTCCATTATAGAATTGTTTTCATTGTTAATTCTTTTTCCTAATGTTCAAAGCAAATTTCACTTTTTATACCTTATTTTGTAGTCTCAGTCACTGGGATGATAGAGAATGTGTGTCAAAGTCTGGATGTTACCTCAGAATAATGCTGTTGTATCCCCAGTCTTCTCAAAACCGAACAGTTTCCACAATTTCTTTGCATAGGTTTTGGCATTCTTACTGTTATTATTTGAACCTGTTGATCAGTTGATCTGAACCCAGTGCATAAGAACTGGCCATAATTTTATAAATAAGTGATGACTAGCAATTGTACTTTATGAATTCCATTCTGTGAGATAAAAACATAATTCTGATGTATCAAGCAAAAATCATACTTACTGAACAATGTTTGATCAATTTCAACAATGTTAGTTGATTCTTGGCTTATCCACTTAGACAGATAAAGCATTGGTAAAAGCAATTATAAAGAAATTAGACCAGTACTATCTTAATTCTGCCCTTGGAGAAACAGTGTTTTGAGGAAGTGCTAGAGGATGGCTATGGCCTTTATTTATTTATGTGGTATTGTAGATTTCCATCACAGCTCCTGTAAATTTTAACATCTATATAAAACTGCTGAAATGTACATAATATGACAATGTTCTATCTCTTGTTTCTGCTTTGTGTTTAACTCTGTTAAACCCTCTCTTAAAGATGAACAATATGATACTTGTTTTAGATAAGCAGAGATGCAATTAATAACAAAGCTCATAAGTGAAAATTTGGTGCCAGGTTTTTTAATGTTTGTATTTTTAATATATTTATGTATCATGTTGTTTTATGATTGATATTATTTAATAGCTAATTGGAGCCACCCAGAGTTAGAAATAAGATAGACAGCTATGTACAGTAAATATTTTAAATAAATAAATGAAGTTATCTATTTAAATATTTTTTGCAGATGTTCCTTTACATGTTCATTTTAAAACTTTACTCAAGAAATATGAACTCAAAGGTGATGCTTTTGAAGGTGCTGCTCTTGGTTTAGAGTACAAAATATCTCCATTAAACGGTATGCAGTATTAAAAAATATATTTTTATTCCAGTTCTCAATAGTTTGTTTTCCAGTGTTTTTATATTTTTGATTGATAACTAATATTTAATATGATTGCAAAAAATATATATGTTTCCTCAAAACTGAGACCATCATTCCATTTTTGTAGTGAAAATTCACCTGAAAAACATCTGACAAATATTTTATATCGTATGCACTTTCTGAAAATGGAATTTATCCATCTATGTTTTGCGCTTACTCTATACTAATGAATATATCAAACCAGATTTTTCTTTATTAGAAATTATTAAATAATTTTCCTGATTAGTGAACGAATCATCTTTTAAATATATAAATTGATAATGTGTAGTTACTTAAATCAGTTTGATTTAAAATAAATCTACCCTACATGCCCCTCTGTATCTAGTAAATTTTACAGCAAGGAAAATATATATAAATTGTGCCCATATATAATTATGACTGAAATCATTGACCACTTTTGATATATTTTTGGCTTTAAGTAATTCAATGTCTTAAAAGTATATTGCTAGAACGTAAACATAGAGAAAGAATCACAGTGAAGTTATGTTTGTTTTTATCCCAGTTTTTAGTCAAATTAAAGCTCCTCTTCAACAGTTGAGCCGTGGATATGAATCCACTTCTAAACATCAAACTATGGCAAAAGTATCTGAACAGTTTCCAGAGGGAAGGAAGAAAAGACATTTAAGCGAGACATTGTCTGGTAAGTACACACATACGCACACATATACACATACATAGTACTCATGACACTATTCCTTCTAGGGATAAACAATGTTATGGAAAAGGCATACAATTATATTGGATAGGGGTTTTTTTATATGTACCTGCCAGCACCACCGAAAAAAGAGCACCGCACCTTGCCAGGTTATGAGATATTCTGTATCCTGAATAATCCTTGAGGTATGAGGCTCATTTTAGAAGATACCCTATTCAGTAGTCCACAGATAATTTAAGAACTAGATCAATTTGGCACTCTACATTCATAATGAGAAACATCTCATTGTTAATGAGCAACATCTCTTGATCATAGCCCCCTTTTATTACAATATATTTTGTGGAAGAAAATTGTCTATAATTTGGTTATAAGGGAACTCTTTTAGTGACAGTTACCTGACATCCTCAAGAGGGTAAGATCTTGTGGTAAGGACACATTTTTTAACCAATGTATAAACATTAAGAGCCAGACTCTGATCTCTACTTTCATATCTGATTCAAAACAATAAGGCATATTGGAGACCTAAAACCCTGCATAGAGGAATTTGGATTAGACTTATTCCGGTAGGGGAAATGTGTCTTCACTATTAAAATAAATTAATAAAAACTTTAACAAGAAGCCACGATTGCAAATCAATAGGTTGAAATAATAATTCTCTATTTGAACTCCAAAGCATTCTTCACTCACTTTTCTGTGATACTGATGGTTTCTGCTACTTAAACTTCCTAAGCTTCCATTAACAGGATCCCATTAAAAAGTTGTTAAGAAGCAGTATACAGGTTTAATAAACTACTACCGTACTTTCCGGCGTATAAGATGACTTTAGAAAGCGTTGAAATCGGCGCCGAAGTCAGGGGTCGTCTTATATGCCGAGTCGTCTTATACGCTGGAAATAACGGTAGTTTCCGGCATATAAGATGACTTTCTAAGTATGCGACTTGGCGCCGAAGTCGGGGGTCGTCTTATACACCGGGTCACCTTATAAGCCGGAAAATACGGTAGTATTGGTTTTAGTATTATATAGAAGATTGTTGCTTGTCATTTTTCAAGAAGCAAGGTGGTCTGTGAATTCACTTCTGGCTAATATCTCTAAATTTGAGTGTACATGAGGCTCAAGAATGAGAATGGAATGAGCAGAAGATCTCATATTTACTCATTGTTTTACATGTAAAAGCTAGTTGTAGGGTGGCAAGGTTAGTATTCCTAACCTTCCTGAACTCGTCCAAAGATGAAAGGTACTGGACAGAATTTCATGTGAAAGCACATAAAAACATATGAAAAAGTATGAAAAACATACTTTCAATTTATTAAGTTCAGAAAAATGCTGTTTCACTAGTTTTCTAAATCAGTAATAAAGAACACATTGAACTAAATATAGTATTTAATTAAAGAAATTAAAGAAAACAATTGAACAATTTAGCTATACTGTCTATTGGAACTGTCTCTTTTTTATAGGATCTGCATAAAATTGTTATCAATGGAATAGAACAGAGCTGGAAGGGATCTTGAAGGTCAAGCCAGGAGACCTTATATCATTTAAGGTAGGTGGTTATCCAATCTCTTCTTGAAAGCCTTCAATGATGGAGCACCCAGAACTTCTGAAGGCAAGCTGTTCCACTGGCTTATTGTTCTCACTGTTAGGAAATTTCTCCTTAGTTCTAGGTTGCTTAAAAAAGTAAAAAATAAACATTACTTAACTTAGCTAAGTAAGTTAATTAAAAAGATGTTTCTTTTAGTACAGTGTATGACTCAAGCATTAAAACTGATGGTAGTATGGACAACAAATTCTGTAGTAACAAGTGTAATATTTCCATATTTATGCATCCAATGTACCCTATCTTATAAAATGAAATTCAGTGTAGAGAAAAGTAAGGTTTACACTTAGGCAAGAAAAATGAAATGTACTGGTACAGATTGCGTGAAAGCTGGCTCGATAGGAATTGGGTATGTCTAGTCTAGTGAAAAGAAGAACCAGGCGTGACATGATAACAGTATTCCAATATTTGAGGGCTGACCTATTTTTCAAAGCATCAGAAGGCAAGACTAGATAATGGATGGAAATTAATCAAGGAGAGAAGCAACCTAGAACTAAGGAGAAATTTCCTAACAGAACAATAAATCAGATTGCATTCAGAAGTTATGGGGGTCCATCACTGGAGGTTTTTAAGAAGAGACTAGACAGCCACTTGTCTGGAATGGTATAGGGTCTCCTCCTTGAGCAGGGGGTTGGACTAGAACACCTCTAAGGTCCCTTCCAACTCTGTTATTTTGTTCCGTGATTTGGGGTGAAAAACTCATATAATAATTGCATTGCTAGCCTAGTTTCTACTCTGGATATGCTTTCTCAATTTCCTGTGAAGTATCTATGTTGTATGTGCGTTATTTAGAATTTTGTTCATTAATTGATGTTTTTTATCTTTTCATTACAGGAGAAAATAATAGTTGTGAAGCATTGACTTTTCAGCATGAAGGACAGGAGTCTTACAGTAATTTTACAGCAGTATCCAATGTTGACATGTTATCTAGATCAAGTCACAGTATCTCTTCACAGGTATGATGATAATATCACATTGTCTATTTTTTCAAAAAAATAATAAATGGGTAACTCTTTTAAACAGCTTCTATGGGGCAGTGGCATTTGTCTGCAATGATGAATTTTAAGGCGATGTTTAGTTTTTAGGAGCTGAAGTTTACTATTTCTCTTTAATGAATTTTAAATCATATCTCATGCTTCAACATACTTCTCAGAAGTAAAATATTATTAAATATAGGATGGATTTCTGAATGTATCTGCTCAGGTGACTGTTAAAATTACATCACATTATCATTTAATAGCAAGACAAATTACAATTTGTTTTTGTTCCTAAGGCCTTTATAACAGAATATATAGAAACCGAGTCTGATTCAGAAGCTGAATCTTGGCCTTGAACTATAAAAGCAGTCTATAATCCTTTAAACAGTGCTCTGAGCATTGTTCTAAGGCATCTTCCCAATGCCACAAAATGTTGAAAACTTTAGTACGGATCTTTGTAATAACGCAAAAAACTTTCTGCCTCTTTTTTCTTTAAAACCAACCCAGCATTCTCTGCCTGCCTGCTTTTCTCCATTTTTCTATTTTTCATTTCCTGTCTATATCTCTTTCCAAGTCTTCTCTGCATGGTCTTCTGAAACTGTGTTTTTGTTTTCCTAATCCAGCCTCTTCATAGCTCTCCCACCAATTCTTTATCAAGAAATGGGGGAAAAAAATAATTCTTCTTTTTGCAGTGCTTTAGCCTTGCTATTTACCAGAGAAAAACCTTAGTCACCTGTTAGATAACACTTTATAGTATTACCTTTCTTATTATCTCTAGGGAAAAATAAAGATACTATAGCTAGAAGCCTTTGCTTTGCCCTGAAGGGATTGCAAGTTCAGTATGATGATCACCTAAGGGAAGTTTGCCAGGCTATGGGCATTATAGTGATTAGAAGTGATTATCTCAGCACTTATCTTTTATCTATTATCTAAACAAGGCTTCCCAACCCCCGAGCCATGGCCCACTACCAGGCCATGGCCTATTCGGAACTGGGCCGTGCGAGAGGTGGGCCAGTGTGCGCATGCAGCTCCATTTGTATGACCAACACCCCAAAGGCTTCTTTTCTTTCCTGTGCAAGTGGAACTGTGTGCGTGCAAGCAGTAGCTCATCACTCATGGAGCCTGGTTCCCCTCTCCCCCCCCCCAGCTGGGCTGCCAAGCCGCCTATTCCCAGTGCTCCCAAAGCGGAGTAGTGAGAGCAGAGCTTGAGTGGGACGAGCGTACCTTGCTCAGTTTTGCTGACTCACCAAGGCTTCCTGTCAGGACCACCCAATCCGCTTTTGGAACGTTAGGCAGCCCTGGTGAGTCTGAAGGAGCACGAGACTGCTCTCCCAAAAGCTTCTCTTCTCTGTACCAAAAGCTTGTGCAAACGAAGGAAAGGTTTCAGGGGAGTGATCTCTTGTGACTTCCGGTCTTCCGTCCCTTTGCAAAAGCTTTTGGCGCAGAGAAGCCTGAAGGAGTGTGAAACCATGCCTCAAAAGCTTCTTGAATGGAGCTGCTTGTGTGGGCACACGTCAACCAACACTTGTGCAGCCCGGTCACTTTCTCCCTGCCGGGCCACCAAGCTGCAAGGATTGGGGACCGCTGATCCAAGCAATCATAATCATATTTTTAAAAATGCTTTTGATTTTTATCATTTTGTGTAATTTCATTTTTAGTGGTTTAAACTAGGTACAAGTTTAGTATCAAATTTACTGTCTAAATAATTACAATTTCAACAATTCAACATTATTTCTCCACAATTTTATACATTCGAAATAAGCATAACTTTATAATACCGACAAGAAACATTGCCAGCTTCAAAAGAAAATATTATGTAGAAACTTATTGTATTTATCTTGAGTTTGAAAACTCAGTATTATTACTAGTACATGCACTGAAATTTATTTGGTTTTCATATAGCTTTGTAATGTCAAATAAAACCATTTTTAAACAGTTCAATTCAAGGCGGAGACTGAGAAGTGAGTGTTCCTATGACATAGATAATATTGTTATTCCTATGTCATTAATTGCACCATCAAAACTGGAGAAACTTCAGTATAAAGAAATTCTTACCCCAAGGTATTTGAAATTTTATTGAATCTTATATATAAATAAATTATATAAAACTTTGTTCTGATAGAAAGCATATTGTATATAATTGACAATATTGTGGAAAGATCTAATCATACTACTTATTAGGGAAATGGATATAGTGTCTATAACACTGCTCTTGGGATTTGTTCTTAATGCTTTCAATAATTATTGGGTCTGATTCTTGCTATAGATGTCTTATGTTGGTTAATAGAATATCACAAGTTTCTATAAATCTAAATTTCTTTCTTGTAAAACAAATATATTACAGACTTTTACCCCATGGATTAATAGCAGAGCTAATTCAGAAAAGTTGTAGGATTTGTACTGTTAAAGATATAAACTCATCCTGTTTATTTTTGATCAAGTCATACAATATTCAAATGAATGAACAGAGTTCAGTGCAATTAATGTATTTTCTGTGTATATAATATTGCAGTAGACAGAAAATATTAAGTTACTTGCTTTATATGAAAATTCTTAAATGTTTAAAATAAAATGTTTGTTTCATTGTTACTATATAAATCCACTATCATACTACATATATTCATATGTTATATTAATGTTATAAATGCTTGAAAGTACAGTTGCATGTAAAAGTTTAGTCATTCCTTGTAAAACGTTTGACAAATCCCCAAGTGAACAGAAGCTGATACACTTCTATATAATTATGGCAAATGCAAAAATTTGAACATCCTTCAAGTTGATTCAGCTGTTGTCCTCCTTTTCTGTAAAGTTGTTAGTAGTATTAAGTTACTAATGGTGAATGAATCAGATCTATAATTGCCTAGGGGAAATAATTAAATATTTTCAGGACCGCATACTGCCGCAGAGTTCCCAGAGACCGGTGAGGTCCCATAGATTGGGCCTCCTTCAGGTCCCGTCGGCCAGACAATGTCGGCTGGCGGGCCCTCGGGGAAGGGCCTTTTCTGTGGTGGCTCTGACCTGGTGGAATCAACTTCCCCCCGAGGTTCGAACAACTCCCACCCTGCCAGCCTTTAAGAAAGCTGTTAAAACTCTCCTGTTCCGGCAGGCCTGGGGCTGATGTCCCCGGGGGGGGGATATGATCGGACTTGCGGTATGATTGTATTATTTTATTGTTTTATTGTTAGATGATTGTTTTAATTTTGTACGCCGCCCTGAGTCCTTTGGGATTGGGCGGCATATAAATAAAATAAATAAATAAATAAATAAATTCAACAATCATGGGCTCTTTTAAGCAGATCTCTGACTATTTAAAAATAAAAATAATTTACTTTTGAAAAGCTAGTGAGGGCTATAAAATATCTAAACACTTATACTTATTTCAACTGAAAGAAACATTATTAAGAAATGGAAATTAAATGGAATGGAAAAGCTATTCAAACTTGCTAAACTGCATCTGTATAAATCCCAAATATCTTCCTGAAAAGGTAAACCAACACAGGAATACTTGGTTACAGGTCCATTGTATAACATTACTTTTCCAACAGTGGTCCACAGTTATCAGAAGGAAATCTTTTATCTGACATAGTTTCAGTAGTCATAACCTTAGTACATATTAATAAGCTTGAAACATTTTGGAACAAAATACTTCGGATTAATGAAACCAAAATTAAACTAATTGGTTACAACTACACAATACATCTGGAAGAGAAAGGATGAAGCATTTGTAATAAACAAAAAACAAGCCACACCTGTTCATTTAGTGGTTTATTAAACATACAATTTGACCAGAAATGCCTAAACCTTTTCATGCAACTGTAGATATTTCCCCACTTTTCAGCCATATAACAGTGAATTGTGATGACTACATTTAAGCAGCTGTCAGAAGCAACCAGTGTGTCTCTGCTTTCAGACATTCACAACATTTGTTTGTCATTACTGATGTTCATTGCAAGTCAGTGAAACAGTATCTAGTCTATCAGGACATTGCTACCTTAGCTACCTTAGAAAGAGGAAAGAAAATGAACCAATTACAAAGGTAACTCTTTGGTTAATATAAGATTTCTGATGGAAATATACCAAGAAAGTAGAAAACACAGATGAGAAATATTGGTTTAAAACGGGAATATATTGCCCATTTGTACAAGCCATTAATAAATTTGTAGCCATGTAACACTACAAAGAATTGCATAAAAGCAGATACTATCTTCACTCAAAGCAAGGTTACCGTACTTTTAATTTAAGATAGTCTTTTCCATAAACAAAAGATTATTAAAAAAAAGTTATTGGCCTCCCTTAACCATAATCTTACCGAATATGGGTTGACCCTCCAATTTTAAAATTACATGGGAACACATGATCTTATGTTCAAATAAACACAGTACATTGGTCCATTTGCACAAATGATTTCATAAGATAAAAAGAGAAATCTTAATTTAAATTATGTCAAAGCCAATGACTTTGAAACAGATAAACATTAACTATAAGAAAATTCAATTATGTAATTGAATCGGCAGGTGTGTTTGCAGTGTTTAGAGTAGAAATTATTTTTCATAATGAATTAGATTTCAGTTTTATATGAACAATTTTCAAGGAAGAATCTTTTTTATTAACAGCTGGAGAATAATTAGCCTAAAACCTTTAGAAAAACTGCATGAGGATGAAGAGAAGGTAAGATCTATTTATGTTCAACTGTTGTTTTGCAGTGAGGAATTTTATATTTCTACTCACAGATAAATTTATTATATATCAGAATTGTGAAAGCATTGAAATGAAAGCATGTCAATAGGAGCAAAGCATTCTTGAAATCTGAAAGTAGATATATCCTTTGGGAGGTTTAGGTGGCTGCTTCAGTTATTAACACACAATACTGGAACCACAAGTGAAATGAAGCAGTTATATATGCACAACTGCATGTTCAGAGACCTGGGAACATTCTTTGAAGCTACTACAAAAGTCTTTCAAAGGATATAATTACTTTTACATTTCAAGGAATAATGTTTCCTTCATGCTACTACCTGTTGTACAACTTACTGTATATGTAAAGTAAAATAAATTTTATAATAAAAATACTTTTATTATAAAAGGCATAATAAAATTATAAATACTTTGAGTATTTTTTTATCTAAAACTATAGAGGAGAGTCAGTTTGGTATTGTAATTAAGGCATCAGGATAGAAACTGGGAAAGCATGAGTTCTAGTCCTACCTTAACACAGAGCCAACTGGGTTACTTTGGGTCAGACCCTCTCCCTCAGCTCTAGGGAAAAAAACAGTGGCAAAATACTTCCAGAAATACTGCCAGGAGAAATGCAGAGACTTGCAGGAGTCAGCATGATTTGAAGGCACACACACACGGCAGAAGAGAGATTGAAATTATTCTTGTTCTGGGACAGATTGCGAAAGAGTATTTTGAGAGTTTTTACTAAAATGGGATCAATTGATAGCATTGGTTTGGACAGGTCTTCACAAATCTATTGACCAGGATCAACTGGCTGACAAGAACTTACTTTTCAGTAGTCCCTATTGTTGTTTGCTTGTTAACGATATTTGTAGCCTATCCAAATTGTGAAGGACAGTATGTATGTGTATAAATCAACTACACAATAAAAAGGCCAAATATCAGCATGCCTAGATTTCCTATGATGACTGCCCATAATCAAAAAGGCCCAAATGCATACAGGTAATTGTCGACTTACAACCACAATTGTGACCAGAATTTCCATTGCTATGCAAGGCGGTTGTTAAGTAACTTGCACCTGGGGTCTCACATACTGTGATGAAATAGTCCAAATGTGTAGTAGCAGATGAGGGTTCCATCACCACGGCATTCTGGTTCACCCTCAAGAGCTGGGCAGAGACCTTGATTTCTGCTTATCCTGTGAGCAGGAGCTTAGACCCCAGAAAGATCCTTAAATCATAAACCCTTCCTTTATTGAGTTTAGGGCAATTTTGATTGTATCATGTTTCATGTAAATATTGAATAACATAGGGGTAATCCCTGAGCTCACGATACACCATATTAGAGTCCTCCCTCCCCCAATTACCATGTGGAACCTCCATAATACCTCCAACTCTCCACTCTTGCCATCAGTCCAGAAGGATATTACGGTCATGGCAATGGCCGCCATCAAATTAATAGGTGAGCGGGGCAAATTTCCCATCTCCATGGAAGAGAAACAGCAACATTTTATTATTTTTATTTTGCCACCTTATCAAAGTAAGAGAAAAAGCTCCAGTCCATTTAGGTCTTTAAAAACAAGAATGGAGCAAGCTAGATATGTATTCATTCATGTAAACTGGTAGAGTATCTGAAAAGAAAGGCTGTGGTGGTAAATGGGGAAGAAGATAAGACAAAGTATGTATTGCTCGCTCTTGTATTTTGGCCCAGATTCCCACCAATGCTCAGTATATTTTGGAATGCTGAATCCATAACAATGTTTTGTGAGAAAACTTCTCATTCATTAAATAAGATTTACAATATGAGTATTCTAATACTTAGGCAGAAGATCTGTCTGATGATATCTACGCTGCACGTCATTCAAAATATGAAGGCAAAGAAAAAGCACGGTGGTCACTGTGGGAAAAGTGTCGATGTCCTAGAAGGAATAGGCAGGTTGAAATTAAAAGATGGAATTACATTTTTGTTTATTGCTAATAATTTCAAATTCTTCAACCAGGTTTCTCTTACAAAATTAGTTACGTTATGGGAGCTATCTAAACCTTACTTTACTAATGTTCAAATGAAAATTTACTATTGCAAATATAATGCTTGTTGTCAGCATTTGCACTTAATTCTTACACAGACCAGATGTTTGACATAATACTGTATAGCTGCACATGAATAAAGAAGTATGTCTTGATTTTCTTGCATAATTACAAAACCTTCACTTATGCAAATGTATTCAAAATTTTCATTTTGAAAAAACATGAATATTTTTAACACTGAATGTATCGGTGGTTTAATTTATTGCTTTAGTGGCATCTGAAAAGAAATATTAAAAAATGGGTTTTTAAAATCCGCAGAACTGTAATTTTCATTCTCAGTTGACTTATTTTTCTACAACATGCTTCCATTTTGTATAGCAAAATATTTGTTTTAATTGGGAACTGATGTTTGAAGGAATTTAAGTGAGAAAATAACCCAAGAACTATTTCAGGAAAAAAAGTGCAACATTCACACAACCACTGCAATCCTGTTATTATAAAACTAAGTTCTTTGCTTTCTGAAAATAAAGATATATGATGAGATAGTATTATGTGGTAATTTAAAATTTTAATATATAAACACAAAGCACAATAAAATACACTAGGAAAAACTCAGAAATTCTCAGTGAGCTAATGCTGGCAATCAAGTAGGATTAGCTGAAACTGAGCCATACTGAAGGGAAGGGGCAAGCCTCCTATTAAATGTAAGTTCTGGAACATTACAGGCTCGCCAGTATGTGTGAATAAAGCTTTAACAATGTGATTAATAGGCTGATTATTTGTTCAAGTGATTAATGGATGGGCCATCTGTGCTTCCTCCAAAGGTTGATGTTCTTGGGCAGAGCTCCATGTCAGAAACTTCAAGAACTGTGAAGGATTTTTTTTAAAAAAACAAATCACCCCTCTCCAACATGCATGTTTTTGGGTGTGATTTCCCCATGTCTTGCCTTTTGTAAATGAAAAGTGGTTTTGGAGCGATCAAGGGATGAAAGCAATACCAGACATTTCTGTAAAGTTAAAGGCACAATTTTGCCAAATGTTTTGACTAGTTGTGTGAATGCACAGATAAACCCATCTTCTAGGAGTTCTCTATGTAATACTTGCACGAATGAATGAATGACAATCTTATTTAAGTGCTAGAGGAAACAAGTCCACAAATGAATGATAATTTATCTGTCCATCTCTTGACATCTAGTAAGTAATATTTGGTAAAAGTAAAAGACTGTAATTAAATTGTTTTGCCAGTGTCAGACAGGGAGACTGTCAGGAAGGCTCAAAGAAAGATGTGATCACAACCATGACCTGGATGACTAAGAATCTCCATAGCCATTCCTTGTTGATCAGTTGGTAAAACAGTTTTGTAGAGCACAGAGAGGATATTGACATCTCTCTTGGGATTTTGTGATAAAAGTAGACCTTGCTTAATGACTGCCTTGTTTACTGACCATTTGAAGTTACGACAGCATTGAAGTAATAACTTTATGGACAGTTCTCGCATTTACACCATTGCCGTGTCCCCACAGTCACAATTGGCATTTGGGTGCTTTGCAACCTGCACACATTTGCAACTGTTGCAGTGTCCCACAATCATATGATTCCTACTGTACTTGCATGTTTCACAGCCAGATTTTGCTAAGCAGAGTCAGTGGAAAAGTCATAAGTAAAATTGCAAGTCGTACACAATGGGTTAATGGGTTAAACATTCTTTTTATACTTATAAACATATATTTAGGGTTGGTCATCCTGCAGTGAAAACATAATAAAAGCACCTGTCCTGAGCATGAACAAAAACATCACCTAGGAACCCATTGCTTTCAAGAATAGACTGGACAACCATTTGACAGGATGTACAAGGTGTCCTTCCTTGAGTAGGGTCTAGGACTAGAAGATCTCCAAGCTCCCTGCCCACTCTGATTCTGTTTCTGCTATTGTCACTGTGGTATTATGCATTTTCAACTAAGAATGATTTCTGAAGGTCATTGTAGATATTTTGGAAAAGACAAACAGCTACAAATGTCTTTCTTTCCAAAAGAGGCAATTGCAAAGAGTGAGGAAAATATAGAAGATGGAATAGTTTGTATGTGATGAACAAGGAAATGCAACTTTAGACTTGAATTTCTCTAGCTAGCCATGCAAGGCATACAACTTGGCCTGGTAGGAATTCAAAGGAGTTGTTACCATAGGCAGGATATTTGAAGCCTATAAGTGAGCCTCTGCAGCTTGACCACAAGGCCAGGTAACCTGAACAAATAAAGAATATCATGGACATAACCCGAAAGGTGGAAAAATTAGTAGCCACCAATCTGAAATCCATATATGGATTTCAATATGCGTATGCACACACACACACATGAGAACTGTTGTATATGTTGTAAAAGCTCTTGGTATAGTGCAGGGGTAGGCAACCTTGGCTCTTTTAAGTCCACAAGTCATGAAAGAGCCAAGGTCGCCTACCCTGGTTTAGTATAATAGCTGAAATATTGTTATATAATAATAGTAGTAGTAGTAAAGTTGGAAGGGACCTTGGAGGTCATCTAGTCCAACCCCCTGCTCAGGCAGGAAACCCTACACCATTTCGGACAAGTGGCTGTCCAGTCTCTTCTTAAAAACTTCCAGTGTTGGAGCATTTACTGCTTCTGGAGGCAGGCTGTTCCACTGATTAATTGTTCTCACTGTCAGGAAGTTTCTCCTTAGTTCTAGGTTGCTTCTCTCCTTGATTAGTTTCCACCCGTTGCTTCTTGTCCTGCCTTCAGGTGCTTTGGAAAATAGCTTAATTCCCTCTTCTTTATGGCAGCCCCTGAGATATTGGAATACTGCTATCATGTCCCCCCTTGTCCTTCTCTTCGTTAAACTAGACATACCCAATTCTAGCAACCGTTCCTTATATGTTTTAGCCTCCAGTCCCCTAATCATCTTTGTTGCTCTTCTCTGTACTCTTTCTAGAGTCTCAACATCTTTTTTACATCGTGGTGACCAAAACTGGATGCAGTATTCCAAGTGTGGCCTTACCAAGGCATTGAAGAGTGGTATTAATACTTCATGTGATCTTGATTCTATCCTTCTGTTAATGCAGCCTAGCACTGTGTTGGCCTTTTTGGCAGCTGCAGCACACTGCTGGCTCATATTTAGGTGATTGTCTACTAGGACTCCGGGGTTCCTCTCACAGTTACTACTATTGAGCATGGTGCCAGCTATGCTGTACTTGTGCATTTGGTTTTTCTTGCCTAATGTAGAACCTTGCTTTTTTCACCATTGAATTTCATTTTGTTAGTGCCCAGTGTTCAAGTCTGTCCAGATCCTTCTGTATCTTAAGCCAGTCTTCTGGAGTGTTGGCTATTCCTGCCAGCTTGGTGTCGTCTGCAAATTTGATGAGTTCCCCATCTATCCCTTCATCCAAATCATTGATGTTGAAGAGTACTGGGCCCAGAACAGAGCCCTGGGGCACCCCACTACACACTTCCCTCCATGCAGTTCCATGAGGACCACTCGCTGAGTACGGCCGGTCAGCCAGCTACGGATCCATCTGGTGGTGGTTCTGTCTACCCCACATTTTTCTATCTTGTCAAGTAGTAGGTTGTGATCTACTTTATCAAATGCCTTACTGAAGTCCAAGTAAATTATGTCCACAGCATTCCTCTGATCCACTAATTTTGTCACTTGGTCAAAGAATGCAATAAGATTTGTCTGGCATGATCTATTTTTGACAAACCCATGTTGGCTTTTAGTAATGACTTTGTTTGCCTCTAGGTGTTCGTTGATTCGTTGTTTGATTATCTTTTCCAGGATCTTCCCAGGTATTGAGGTCAGGCTGATAGGTCTGTAATTTCCTGGATCCATTTTTTTTCCTTTTTTGAGGATGGGAACTACATCAGCTCTTTTCCAGTCCTCTGGTAGTTCCCCTGTGTTCCAGGATCTTTGAAAAATATAGTTCAGGCTCCGATATCACATCTGCCAGTTCCTTGAGAACTCTGGGGTGTAATCCATCTGGTCCTTGAGCGATTTGAACTCATCTAGGCTGGACAGGTGCTCCCTAACCATTTTCTTGCCTATCTTAACTTGTGTTTCTGTTTTGTTTTTTATGGCACTATTTTTGATAGGTTGGTCTGTTTTTTCCCTTTGTGTAAAGACAGATGCAAAAAATGAGTTAAATAGTTCTGCTTTCTCCCTGTTGCTTGTCACCTTCTTGCCACTTCCACCCACTAATGGACCAATCATTTCCTTCACTTTTTTCTTGTTTTTTACATGTTGAAAGAAGCTTTTTTTGTTATTTTTGACTTTGGTCGCAAGCCTTAGTTCATTTTGAGCCTTGGCTTTCTTCACTTCATCTTTGCAGGCTCGGGCTATTTGCTGATATTCTGACTTAGTTATGTTCCCCTCTTTCCACTTTCTATACTTGTCCTTTTTATCTTTCAATTTGTCAGAGAGTTCTTTATGCAGCCATGCTGGTTTCTTTTGAGAGCTGTTGTTTTTCCTCTTTGTTGGTATTGTGCTAGACTGTGCTTTTATTATCTCATTTTTCAAAATTTCCCAAGCTTCTTGAGTTGTTTTCCCCTTGAGGATTCTCATCCATGGAATCCTTCCCAAGCCCTCTCTAAGTTTATTGAAATTAGCTCTCTTGAAGTCCAAGACTCTAGTTTGACTGTGTTCTATTGCTTGTGCTTCTATAATGTTGAATTCTAATATTGCATGATCACTTCCTCCCAGGGTTCCTATGGCTTCAACACCTTCTATCATTTCATCTCTGTTAGTGAGAATTAGATCCAAAATGGCTAATCCCCTAGTTCCCTTCTCTACTTTTTGGAAGACAAAGTTGTCTGCTAGGTTTGCCAGGAACCTGTTTGATCTTCCACTTGGTGCGGAGTTTGTCTCCCAGTTGATGTCTCAGGGTAGTTAAAGTCCCCCAT